TATTAATACCTTGTAGTTGGTGTTACATAACTACTAAAGATAGCTGACTCCTACCAGGCTAGTTCCTATTATGGATGTGTATCTGACAAAGTTAAAGTGACAGTACATCTAGAGAATGAAAAGTAGTAGTACCTTGCTATTGACTTTATGTTAAGCTTAATAGAAAACTGAAAGCTGCAAAATATTAGAGAATTGTAGTAGACTGAAATCCTGGCAGGCTCAAAGAAAAGAAAGCACTCAGAGCACAAGTATGTCATGCACAGATTAGCAAACATAGAAGAAATTAGTGCTCTTGGCTGGTTTGTGTAGGAACTCCCAGTTGTGAAGGTATTTTTTTGTAGCCAGCTCTATGCTATCTACCCTGATGAAATATAGAAACACACACAGATAATATGAATACCAAAGGATGTGATACAAGTGTGGTGTAGAAAATAGCTCATATCTCTTGATCCAGCTCTGCATTTATCATGGACTCCTGCAGAGAGAACATTCTTCTGCACTTGTTTGTAAGCAGAGATTTCCAGCTTGGAATTCACTGTGCTAGGTTTTCTCTGGTACTACACTCAGCTTTCCTTCTTCCAGGATAATGCAAAGATCAGTAGGTTTAGAACTGCCAAGGAAGAGCTTACAGGCCCATGTGGACATGAGCTCATTCTCTCTTCAGCATTCCCAGTTCTAGTTGCAGACTGCATGTATGACCGCAGTAGACTTGGCAGACATGTGGCCACAAGTCTCAATCAGGCTCTGTGTCTCACCAATCTTCTGAAGACAGTGTAGCTGCATTCATGTAGGGCTGTGCTGGAGTCAGTAAGTCCAGGCAGAAATTTAAATAATTCTTCAGGGAACAACTCCATCTATCTGTATCTGTCACAAACTTTATATATAAAAACTCGGACGAAATTTCGATGGATAATTGAGAGTTGGCTGTACTTCTGAAACTACTGCTGTAGGGTTTTTGGCTTTAAAAATTAGCCTGTTGGAAAGAATGGAGGTGCTTATGCTAATGCTAACTTTAAGGTGACTACTGACTTTTTGTTTCATAAAATTGTATCAGTAGTCCTGCCAACTGTTTTTGCACTACAGCCAGTTACTTTAGTCTGCCTCCAGACTTCTACAAAATATATTCTTGCCATTAGTGCCTCCTAGCACTAATTAAGGGTTATTATGGTCTCACAGTACTGCTGACAAAATCAACTTCTGACTGTTTCCATCAAAAGAAGTAAAAGAGGATTTACTGATTACAATTCTTCTAACAAAATCATTTTTGATTTGAAGTGTTTAAACAAAGTGCTGTCTCAATTCAGAATTTGTATGGCTAGGAAGATTGTAAGGTCTGATACAAGTTCATCATTATTAAAACCAAGGTCACTTTTGGTATCTGTGATTTGTAAGCTTTCAACCTATTTATTAACAAAAATAATTCTAAATTATAAGCACTGAGTATAATTATAAGCATTCATGTATGAGAATTTTCCTGTGAGGCTTTTATCCCTCTATTTCATTTCTCAAAACTGTTGCTAATAAGGTGTAAGCAAAGCCAAGATTTGCCAGTAAAAATATCCATAAGCTTAATTTGGACTGTTTTGTTTTAATGTTTTCTGAAGTCTGCTTTTGTAATACTGTGGTGTCTGACAACCAGATATTAACAACATATTAACAACACTTATCACAAAATTTTGAATTGGCAGATAAGATTTATTGCAATGTGCTGCAGAAGAAACAAATACTTTGCTCTCCATATGAAGACATGAAAGTGTAAACTTACTCATTTGGTTTCTACAAGAAAGTAGTATCAAAGTTGAGCTGGTAGCTAGACAAGCCTTTAAGAGCTTTGCTAGGTTGGCTAGTTTTGTTCTCAGCATACTTAACAACCTGTAACAGCATTTCTGTTTCAGTATGTTGTGAACTAACAGGAGTTAGTTCAGTCAAATAGAATACCAGTTCTGATGACTCATGGAAGTGGTATAGATCTCTTAAACTAGCTGTGAGATGTAATGCATTTTTAAATAGAAATCAGCAGTTTGAAAGGCAAACTAATGGTGGTATTCATGTTTTGTCATGTAACACACTATGTATGTAACTGCACAACCTCAGAAGGGCTGCCCTGGAACAATAATAAGCAGCACAGCATTTCTTTCTCAGAGTATTTCTTGTAGGTTCTGCTGCTACATGTGACGTAAAGGATTCTGGAATTATTTTTCATTAAGACAGATTAACAAGCAGAACTTGGAGACCCACTAAGTTCAGAAAACTTGTAGAACAGAAATAACTTTTGTTTCAAAGATGTTAAGAGTACTTGCAATTGTGCCCTAATTAAACTGTTTGTGTGTAGGGGCAATGCAGTCCATAGATGTAAAACTCTGCAACTGTCAGACTGGGCTGTTACCAACATAGTGAATTTCTTGCTTGTGGAGAAACTGAAGTGCTTGCAACTTTTAGATGGGATCGTATTAATCTTTTCTTTACTTTTCCACCAGGTGTCACTCAGCCAACTTGAATGGTTTGTACTACAAAGGTCCCTATACTGCAAAGACAGACAATGGAATAGTTTGGTACACTTGGCATGGGTGGTGGTACTCTCTGAAATCTGTTGTAATGAAGGTCAGACCAGCAAGCTTTGAACCAAATATTGTTTGAATATTTTATTAAGATTTATCTTCTGGCAAATGGATCCAAGGTAAAAACAGATGGGTTATTACCTATGTCTATAAATATCTAGAATAATTCCTCTGTAATTAATAGTTTTCTGAGATGTACATATGGATTCATAAACCATATCTTCTCATTTACAAGTACTACTGCTAATGTGCCTACAGGATTATTTCTTTATGGCAGAGTTTGCCTAGGAGAAAGGATATCTTTATCAACATGGAGAATTTGTCTTGAAAGGTAACTAGAAATCCTTTTACTTTTTTAATAGAAAAAATGTCACTATTATGTCTCAAAAATTAAAATGGATTGCATTGCATCCAAAAAGGCAATTTAAATAGAACCTTTAAGTTCAGCTTCCTTGTGGAAGTAGCTTCTTCAGAATTGTAGCAATTACAGTCAATACAATGGGAAAGACATGCAACAGAAGTGTCTTGATGGAAAGACTGGCACAATAGAAAGGTGCTATAACGGAAGGGAAGAAGATTCTAGGTTCGCAGGGGAAAGCTTCACCAAGAAGGGATTTCCAGAAAGGGATCCTTCCCCACTGGCAGTCAGCCCTTAAATGAGGACTAAGAGAGGCGCAGCCAGGCTCCAGCCCTCCTGGTCACAGAGCTGAATTGCCTTCACCTGTGCTCTCAGGGCTGACTGAGTCCTTTTCCCAGGTGCTCAACCAGTGGTTCAGGCTGTGACTCAACAGTTCCCATAAAAGAACAAATCAAAGCTTTACAAGAAATTGGTTGCCTGTAAGTTCCTCCAATTTATTTGTTGAACATGTTTTGTACATAGCATGCATAAAGAATAAGGGAGGAAACTGGAGGAAGGGAAGGGATCCCATCAGCCAAGAATCAGTTGAATTTTTAGAGGTGGTCATATCACTTCAATGTAATGTTTTTTGATGGTTGTAATTCTGCCATTCTTCTTTTTGGTAACCAGATAGATATTGTGGACACTAATATATTAACACCTTTACCAAAAGGCTGTGACTATTTTTAATGTAAGCTATGCTTTGAGTGTAGACTATCATAATGCATAGAGGGAATTAGGTTTCACATGCAATCTAAAAATTTGGTGTTTAAAGGTTCTTAGTACTTCATTCCATAAAACTTTTATGTATTTGTTAGTCTCCACAGCTCTGTTTGAATGCCCTTTTCAATCACTAAGTTTTTATGCTTCCAAGCTTCTCCTATTTCTCAGTTCTTGGCTATCTGGGCCTTTCCTGTTCTCAAGTTACAGATCCATGTTTTCCTTGTACAACAAAAATTGTAAGAGAAACTTTGCCTAGCTGTAGCTTGGGTGCCTAGCACAAGAACAGACTGTAGCAGTCATTAACAACAAAAACAACTGATGAATGTATGCTGCCGTGGAGAAAAGCAGGCACATTCTGTAGGAAGCTACCTAATGAAATGAAATTCTGTAACTGGAAGGAGCCTGGCCTAAGTATGTGTGCATATATATAGATATGCATATATCCAGCATTCAGTATGAAATCATTATTTTCAAATCATGCTGCTATAAAAGGAGGAAGATTTAATTCCTTGTAAAACCAGGGATGACATTATGTAGAAATTGTAAAAGCTGGAAAGATTGGCTTGTTTGGAGAGTGTTAAGATAAATCATATAAATTGAAATTAAAGACAGACTTTTACTAACACATGTGAATTGCACTTAAGTAATCTGCAGCAATACTTTTTGTTTGCTTCAGCATAAATTCCTCCTCCTCCTTTACTTATGAGAATGTTAATGATATCCGTCAGCTGAGTGAGTACTTTTCTCACATTTTGGTATAAAATCTTACTCCTTTTCTTTACTGGCTATCATAAAACTAAAGAGGAAAAAATCTTTGCGCATTTTAAATTGCATTTGTATGTTTATTTGGACTGGATACTTTTCAGGACAAGGACTTTGACATCCTACCTAGCTGTTTGAAAAGCACCTCATATACTGCTGGCAGTACACAAATACAATATTTAATTCCTACCATCTCTCTGTGGCGTTTCCTCATGCAGTAGATCATCTTGGCTAAATGAAAAACATGTGAAAGAGATGATGTAATTCAAAATATCATAGTTATTCTCAAATATATGAACTCTTTACTTTCAACTAATGAGTATAAACAGCCTGACATGGGCTGTCGGTAATTATTTCCTTAACAGGTATAAACTTGTTCTAGGGGAATCATTATTCTTACAAGATAGCAGAATAAAGGCCGGTTGTTTTTGTTGTTGTTGAGGCATTAGACAACATAGTAACTCCCAAACAGTTGAAAATGAATAAATACCACTTGATATAAATCTTATAACCCTAAAGAAAAAGAATCAAGGATATAACAAGTAAAATATTTTGTCAGTGGTGATTTAATAATGAACAATGTGATCAGAAGTGCATCTTGTAACATTTGTTCAAGAGAAATATAATTGTATTTTCAACTGTGTTTCTTTCCATTTGCTAAGCATTTTGGAGATCAAAACAATAAAAACTGTAATCTAAAGAGAATTAAATGAATGGCTAAAGACCCTTTTATGCTATAGCACTTGTTTTTAATGTCCAGTATGCGCTGATAAAGAGCTGAGGCACTAAAATCTGGCCTACTTATTTCAAGTGGAAACTTCTCTTCAGCTATGCAGCATGGGTTCCCAAAACTGTTCCTAACACAAATTCTTGAACATCAGTAAGTATAATGTTCTGTCAAAGCTGTTTTTTATTGCTTTTAAAAAAAAATAGCATGTAAAATAGCAAAAGACAGATCAAACTACTACTTGCTAGGTTTATCAAGTTCCTTTGGTTCTCATTAGATCAAAAAAATGAACATCTAAGTTTGTATATTTTTTATTTTTAGCTTCAGCAGTGGGTTCTCTTTTGCACTTGTGAAAGAAGCATTAAGAGCAAAGAAAGTATCCAGGAAAGTATTCTACATCTAGATTTTCAAAAGTTTCCACTTGTTTCTGTCTTGTTTTCTTGTTGCAATTGCTTAGAAAAAAAAATAAAAAAATGGAGCTGTTTAAACAATGGTTTTCCTGAGTAAGTCTGGTCTGAGAACAGGGAACTAGCAGAGTTTCAAGCATTCAGCCAAACTCCATATGCAATAGAGAATTTAAATGTACAAAGAAAAACATTACAATGCTTGTTCATTTTCATAAGAAGATTAGATAAATCTTGATGGTGATAGTGGCTTGAAAACATAGTATTTCATCCAAAAATCATCCTTTCCAAGTCGCTGTGGCCCATTTCAACCTTTATTTAGTGCAGGATGAAAGCCAGCTTACATTGCTTGCATGTTCAGTTAACTAAGGCAATTCCTCTTAATCCAACCCTAATGCTAAACAGATTGCATCAGAAATATAATATTTATCCAAATATTGATTAAACAACCCTGGAGCCCAATTCATGTATTTGGTTGCTTACAAAAGAACTGATACACAGCCCTTGCAAAAAGAAAAACCCAACCCTGTACCTTGCTCTTTTCTGCCCTTCTTCAGTGATTTGTAGTAATTGTCTGTTTCTTTAGCTTGCCTCCTATTGAATCTAAACTTCCTTTATTTCTTCTTTTCTTAATTATAATCAAATATTTAATCTTACCCATGAGTCATGACCGCTGGAAACCTGGGTAATACTGAGATTCTGCAGAAGCTGAGCAAAGGCTTTGAGGTGCTAAATGGTGCACCTAAGGAATCTAAAATGGCAATTAGGTCACTAAAATGTTCTGGGAATCAATGTCTAGTTTCATTTAGAACTAGACAGTATTTATTGTAATGAGAGTATCTGCCCAGCGCTATGGGCATGAAGCTATGCAGATGCTTCTTAGAAGTATGTCATTAGCACAAAAGATTACCTGAATTTCAGTGCTTCCAATTTTGTTGCTATGAGCTGAAGGTCCCCAGTTAATTACATTGCCACAAGAGCCACAGGGCTGGCTTTTTCTTCAGCATGGTGGTCCATAACAAATTAGCTTAATGAAGACAAGCGGTAGTAGAAAGACTTTGTTAGTGATATCTTGCACTAGATGGTGCTCTGTACATGTTGCATTTTCTTAAGTAATACTACATTTGTAAATTAGTATTAGCACTTCTCCCCATTAAGTTATGTAAATAATTAAAGTACAGGAAAACAAATCAATGGTGTTTAAGTGAATGCCTTCCATTTCAAATGTAGATCATATATTTTGCTGATTAGCAGACAAACAAATCTGCAAGTTCCAAACAGTACCTAAGCTAATGTATTTGTACTTCTGTATTCCTGCTATGATTCTTCTGTTCTTCCCTGTTTTGAAAAATATGAAGAGATCCTATCTCAGCTACTGTTGAATTCAATGTTACCTTTCTGGAGTGGATCCCATCTTTCTATTGTAACATAAATGGTGCATTTGAGCGCTCCTCATGATCAGGTGACTAAGAACTTGTGATATCAGCAGGATAAAGTGAGAGTGCCTGTGCCAAACTGCAGGGAGAGCAGAAATGCCATATATCTACCTGGGAAAAGCACCTTCTGAAATCAATCAGGGAGTACTCAGCAAATGCCTTATGTAATTGCTATGAAGTCTTGCAAATCTTGCTTGATAGGCTGCTATTTAAGTTACTATTACTAACGCTTGCAAAATATACAAACATTCTATCTTGTGATAAGGAGATTTTGAGTTTCCTCTTTTTTTTTTTTTCTTTAAATAGTTTTGAATGATACATTTTAAATACGCTATGGAAGTTTCTGCAGTAATTCTTACTAAAGTTGGTTAGTCCTCTGTCACTGAATCTTCTCCATTTCTACTATGCAGCATGATTAATTAAAGATGTCAGTGCAGTCCTCATCTCTTGCTGCCTTTTCCTAACAAGAGACTTAACAGCTTCAGAGGTGTTCTTCCAGAGGGATTTGATTTTTCTTTTTAATTTTCCTCTGTACTTAGTCAAAGGGGTAGAGAAACCAAGTTACTCCTAAAAATTCTAAGCAAAAGGTTTTATAGTAGTGAAGGGCTTCTTTTTTATGTGTACAATTGGAAAAAAAAGTCAATATTTGCAATCCATGGTAATAACTTGAAATTCTACTTCATTTTTCTTTTTAAGTCCCAACAGTAAAAGAAAATATTGGAGCTTTTAAAGCTGGAACAGAAGTTTCATATTAACAAGATACTAACAAGAAAATAAACATTAAAGCATTACATACTGGATGCTTATCCAGTCACATAATCTGCAGTTTGATTTTTTTCTAAAGGATGAAAAAAATCCCATGCAAATCAACTGAGTCCAGTGAAGTTACACTAGGGATAAATCAGCTCTGTAATCTGCTCCTCAAGCAGATCATTTACATTGTATCCCAAAGAAAACACAGCTGTAACAACAAACCCTTTCTAGTATTCTACCTCCTCATTATGAAGTTCTAATACATATTCATTATATATCATTCTACAGGGAATGCAGCCCTGTAAGTTCGTACATGCTCTGTAATTCAGAATATACTAATATCAACAACCTTTTCCTATGCTGCTCAAAGAAAAAATCTTCACGTGTGTCTGGTCAGAGCTGGAAGGAACTAGGAATATAAAGAAAAACACAGCATCTCTGACTTACTTGCCAATGCATGCGATAGCAGGCTATATGTTCACTGAGTACATCTCATAATGTCTCTGTCATTTGTGTGCTAATTAGCCCTCAAAAACCAAATTCAAGAGAAATGACGACATCTTGCAGCTTCACAAAGAACACCGTTGCTAAAAGATGCTGAATGAGCATCAGGCAGTTCAACACCCTGAAAGAATAATAATGCTACCAAATTCACTTATGAGGTCTTCTGGTACATCACAAAGTGATTGCAAGGGAGATATGGACCTCTTTGGCTGACAACAGTACCACAAAGATTCCAGCAAGTGAAATTTATATGGACATTTACCATTGTTTCTCACTTGATGGTCATTTTTTTCATCTATGACAGCCCTAAAAAATACTGAACTCTGTTCCATAGACATAGCTAATGAAAAGCTCTTTGAAGAGAATACAAAAGACTACCTGTTTCACAAGGAAACATGCTGCATTATGATTCTTTTTACTATTGCTGAGAATACAGGTATTTTTGAAGAACCCAGTGGAAGCTGATGTCTGGCAGCTGCCCTGTCTCTGTTATTTACCTCCTTTATTTTACCTACAATATCTTCTTTCAGCCGAACAGTGCTGGAACTGAAAATGTAAAATGAGACTCGAGAGAAGTCAGCTGCTAATAAAAGGTTCCACTGTCTTGTCTTGCTGACCCACTAATTTAAATGCAAGCAACTCTGATGTGATACCAGAGAAAGCCTTCACTGGAGTGTATTCACGATTAATTATTAAAAAAACAAGTTTCAGTCTGGAAAGTGTGGTACAAATCCTCAGCAATAAATGTGTTTCTTAGATTATCTGATAAAAATAAATATTTTAAGCAAAACTTGTATTATTGTCAGAAGGGAAAAAAATAAAATACTGCAGTACTATTTATTTCACTATTTTACCCATCTAGGAATCCAACTAAAGTAGGAGGAGAACAAGTACCAAATTAAATACGTTTTTGTGGGACATATGCATTTAGAAAGGCAGAGAAAAAATGGAACCACTCTGATCCATGGATCTCATTTTCTTAAAATAAAGAAGAATAAAAAACAAATGCATGAAACGAAGAAATGAAACTTAAAATTCAATACATAGCTATAGGAGTAAAAATGTTTCCCCCATCACCTCTGATTTTCTCCACAGCACACAGCAAGTCACTGAACCCTTTGATGTTCTCTACTTGTCTACTTATGAGAGAAATACGGTTTACCTGTTTTACAGAATACTTTGAAACATGCTGAAGAAACACGTCATTCAAGGACTAAGTCTCATTCCATTTCTAGGTTAGGCTACTAGTTATGTCTGATCCTTGTGATAATCAGCAATCCTAAGACTTTTCACCTGGATACAAGTTCATTAGCAATGTCTAAGGTTTAAGGTAGCATAATGCCTCAGTTTGGGAAGCTTTTTGCAGAGTAAGGAATTTGGTCTTTGGAATAGGTGTACTATGGAAGTATGTTGGGGTAAAAATGCCCTAAGTCCTACTTGAAAAATAACCTCTGCTAGCTAACATCCAAGCTTTGTATTTAAAGGAAAGAAGTGCTGGCAATAGAAGTCTCCACTACAATTATTGTCTTCAGTTTCTTTGCTGGTATGATTAATTAAGGAAATCTGCAGCTTTAGTTTCCACAAAGACAGCAAGACTAAAGAGCAGGAAGTAATCAGTTTCTGGCACCACCATCCATTATATCAATACTCAGAGAGAGAGAGAGAGGATCAGTAACTCTTAATGTGAGCAGTTCCTGTTATAACCATTTAAAACCCACTGCAAGCTGCTCACAGTAAATTGCAAACAAAATCCAGAAGTCAATGTGTATACCATCCATATTATGTATGGTATTTTACAGTCTTTTGTCATACATATAAAGTATCATATGATGAGATAAACAGACAGGATTCCTCAGATAATTCTAATAATATGTACGAGCTTACAAAATGCTATTTGTTGCTACCATTTGCATTTCAGACTGTGGAAAATTATAAAACCTGACAAATGCTCACTAATAGAAGACTGAGCAAGAGATTGTGGTTACGGAGGGCGCCATGTGGGACAGCAGGGCTGAGTACTCTTCTGGAGCACAAGCCAGCTCTGACTCAGAAACTCATCACAATAAAAAACATGCATGTTTTTTATAATCACTTTTGAAAGTAAACTGACTTTTGTCTTCAGAAGAATCTGATGTTGGTGGCTAACTTACATGCTAGCCTTAAGTTTAGCTAAGAGAAAGCAAGTAATTAGCAATGAAGTATTTAATTCCTACTGCAACTTTAATTTTCTTCCTACTATCCAAGACTACTGGGCTATCAGAAAAAGGAACTGAAGTGATAACAAAGAAAGAGACTGCCCACACAGTGTTAACATTAATGACTTTGTAACTTCATGTTGAACTTTTTTTGTTGTTATAGTTCATTATACATTCAATTAATCCTTAAAACAGCACAATAGACAAAATAATGCACGCTTAAAATATTAATCCAAAATTTATCTAGTCTATCAAAAAACAAATTTATTTACACTGTCTTTTTGGTATGAAATAGCAACACAATGTCCTAGATGAATCCTACTGTATTTCAGATGAGAAGTGCTGTATATACATAATATTTGCAATACCTTTTTCATTTACTTGAAATTTTCCAACGATGGGAATGTTCTTTTTACTTCAGATGCACCTGACTCAACAGTATATTTTACCCAATTTGGAAAGTCAAGGGGCTTGAAGGGAAATCCTTGACAGGAATACATATTTTTTTACTCTAAAGTCCGCCCAGCCATTAAAGTTATGCCAAGAACAACAGTCTCTGTGCTATTGCAATCAAGGTCTTTTTTTCCTAGCTACATTTCTGTGACTGTTTAGAAGAAGTATTGAAACAGGGAGCAAAAATAATACTTAATCAAACCTATTCTAAGAAAAATAAGGTTTGGTTAAGGCATGAATTAGCGTAAAAATACCCCTAAATGATCATTGCTGCAATAGAAAACATGGACTAAAACACATTAAGTACAAATGCAAAAAAGGATTTTTTCTCCCATTGGATTATTTCACTCTAAATTCTATGCGTATCTTCCCATCCCATCCAACCTTTCATGCACGGAGAACAGCATTCAGTATTCCTCAAAATCAAAAGTACATGCCGTCCTTTCATTAATGTTGGAATTCATCTGTCTATACTCAGGAGGATGGGAAAAGAGAAGAGGAAACGTTTTCATTCTCCAGTTGTCTGGCTCTTCACCTTTAACAGTTCCCTTTTGAGTAAGCAGTGTGAAATCCTGTCAAAGGCTGCTGCAGTGCACCTTCCTCAAAGCATTGTTTCCTTCTATTCTGTCTTACTAAGGTTCAGATGGGAACATCTTGTTGCCACTCAGAACTGACTTCAAGTTTTTCCTCCCTATTTTATTGGTGCAAGTCTCTGTTTGGAACGAACTACCTTTATCACAATTACTGTCATTTCTCCATCGATTCTGTCCCATTATGTGTACTATAAGTACTTTGACATGGGACTACTCCAACTAGTATGAATCCTGCTACCATTTGCAGTAACAAGGTATTGTGTGTATAATGCAATATATTTCCATGCGTAGAGATCTGAAATCCACAGAAGCCTACAAAAAGACCATTACTGTTAGAGCAGAGTCTAAGCAAAGAGAAGCGTGGCGCAATAAACTGTCTTGTGATCTCAGAAGTGCCATGAAGTTAGCTCATACTAGCAACTAATAATCCATCGGCTGATCTGCAGAAATTGTCAGCATGCATTACTTTACATTTGCTATACGCAAGTTAGCTTAGCCTTTTCTCCTGTCAGAACAAGTCACATCACCAGGTCTTTGTTGCTGGCAAAGAGCCTATTCATCCCCATGTCCACAGATGCCACAGCGCTAATGATACTGGCTAAACCCTGCTAACTTAAATCTCATGCCCAAGCCTCACATGAGGGAGATGCTGCAACAGCAGTATGATTTATTTGTTCCTTAAATCATAGGAAAATCACAGAAGGAAGTAATCTACAGTGCCATTTAAATAGCTGACCAGCTACAGATAAGAATACAAATGGTTTTGCTTCAGCAAAATTTATTTTTTCAAAACATTAGGTCTGCAGTGGGTCAGCAATGAAACTGCAATACCTCCACCAGCAACTTGTTTGGAGTTTCTCCATTTCTCCTCTAACTTGCAATGAGTCCCATAGATTAGCTGAAAATCAGGATTCTTAATTTTCTTTCTGTTTAATGGTTTCTTGATATCTACAAAGAATTTCACTGTTCTCTTAGGAACTCGGCAGGTATGACTGGAGATCTTCATATTTTGGCAGCATATGAATCCCTCAAACATCTTTTACGTACAATTCATAATTTAACCTTTCCTAGTAGCCACCATTCCAACCAGTACACTTCTGCAAGGTTTAGCCATGCCCTCACATAGCTGCACTATCCCTTCTCATTCCCTTGTCAAAGCCAATTAAATTTGCAATTACACTCGCGTGCATTGAAAATTCTGCAATGTGCTGGGCCCTCCATTCACTATATAACCTTTTTGTTTGCTTGCTTTTCTATCAGAATAGACAAATAGCCATGTTTGGAATTTTTGCATGCATTTCCTTATGTGAAAGTTAGCTTAAAAATAACGTACGTGGAAAATATTGAAGGATAACAACTGCATGTACAAAACAGTAAATTTATCAAGCTCATGAAACTGAAACCACGGAAACAAGGGGGAAAAAGTAGTCATTTTATTTCAACTAGAAAAAATAACAGAAAAGTAATTAACATATCTATAAGAGCAATATACAAATTCTCAAAAAATCATCAGTATAAAGAAGAAAGAAAACCAATCCCTATCTAGATACTAATAGGAGTAAAGTAGTTGAACCATTATCTTAACTCCACAGAAGATTAAACTTACTGTCTTTCTTATGATTGTATTTGTCATAAGAAAACGTTTCAAAAAATTATCGATTGAATCTCTTCTTCAGAATTGCATTAAAAGCCATGAGCCAATTCTTTAATGGGCATTTAGGAAAAAATGGAAAGAATAAATAATTAATAACACATACAGTGCAAGGGTCTGTCTCACTGATAATGGCTTGGAAAGGAAGAATTTTATTACATTAGGGAATCAAGTGAAGTACAACAGTGTAATGCTTAAAGCTTTAAAAATATTTTCTGGTTTTTCACCAGTGCTGCTTATAAGTTTAGGACTCAATCGTGCTTCGTTGATACCATATGAAGAAAATTTTTACTTATGGGATTAATTCAGCCCAGAGATCTGTGAACTGTTCACCAGTGGATATACCCACAGCCTGTCTATTTTCGAAGCGTGGATGAGAAATACTGAAGATTCTTACAAGAGAATTATTTTACTTCCAGCCTTTACAGGTAAAATCACGAGTAAAATTACAGGATTCAGTGCAAGTTACCATCCAGAAACACTGTCAGCAAGGCTATTCCTAATGATTTTCTCTTAACATACATCATCAGTATGTTGTCAAAGCAGGAAGTACACTGTTTTATTCACACAGGCCCCAGGCAAAAAAAAAGTCATATGAATGTGAAACATGTGGTAAAAAAAAATTAAAGAATATTCATTAGTAATTGAGCGTAAGAAGATAATGAAAACTTTCAACTGTGTTGCTATACATTTCTTCAACCAAAATTGGCACTGGCCTCCAGAAAGGTTTGCTTTATATTGTGAAATACTTTAAACACAGTCTGCATGAGCAAACAAAGGGGAACAGTACTTACCATTTGCCAAAGAAATTAAATGTAGTTATCGACATTCATTACATGTCTCCATTGGCCCTGTCCCCACCTTAAAAAAAATAAAATGAAAAATCTCAACAGAGTATGCTAACCTCCAGCTTGCTGGAATTTTATCTGACAGAAGTCTGCCTCACAATGCCATGAATTACCAGTGAGCACACCACTGAACAAGAACAAATCCATAACAGTGCTCTCCCAAGCACAGCAAAGATAAGCCTTATCCACAACAGACTATCTGTTGCAGTGTTAAGAGCTGCAACTCTCAAGTTCTGGCATTGGTTTCCCAGCCCACAGCTCTGAGGCAGGTGCCCCCACACCAGAAGCACCAGTACCTTGGACCAGAATCTCTAACAGGCAGCGTAGGAAGCACCTGAGCTGCCAGCTCCTGATCCTGAAGTTACAATGTTCTTGGCAGCTACAGCATTTGAGTTATGCTGAAGCACTGTCTGCACTTGCACTTCAGTATCTTTCAAAAGCATGCCAGGAGGAAGGCCCAGCAGACAGCAGCTTAGAAACCTGCAGCAGAGTATCGTGGGCAATACTGAATGCCTACCTCTCACTTCCCAGGAAACTCCCTTCATCACCAGGCCAGAGGCTAGTTTGGTGGAATACCCTTCATTGTGCCTGCTGGAAAGCTGTTATTCTGAACAAACTAATCCACACTCATTGGGACAGAGAAGCAAAGCATCATTTTGCAACGTAACAATTAGAGTATATGGCTCGGAGTGGGGAAATTTGAATTTCAGTCCCTGTTACAAGGCAGTTTTTTTAGCCAATTACCATATAATATTAAAGTACAGTGCAACCAACCATTAAGAGTCAGGAGTAGAAATGTAGTTCCCTAATAACCTATTCAAAACCATCCATTACACTAGATACCAGAAGAACACTGACTCGGCCACCCTGTGCTGCTGCATTTTTATTGCTATTGATACTCAAGTTACCTGATACTATTTCAATATATTTACACTTGCTGCAATCACATCTATTATTAAAGACAGCCATATGATCATCTCAGCATGGTGTATCTTTCTAGCCCTTTCAGAAGTACATGTGGGGCCTAAGACAAGAGTATAGACATGCAGCCTACGTTCTTCTTCATTGTTCGCTCTGGATTTTCTAATTGTTTACTTTATTCCTCATAGTTTTGGATGCCTTTCCCCTTGTTATCATTTGTATTCCATCTCTCTTCCTTCTGTAAGGTTTTTGTGCCTTTCCCACTTCTTTCTCTTTTCCTTCCCTCCTTTTAAATGATTAGGCAACATAGTACTTCATTCTTCATCATACATTTACAAAAAAAAAAAAAAAATGGAATAGAAGAACTGAGAAGAAAAAAAAAAAAAAGCAGAAGTCATTTAATTGCTTGTTAACAACAGAAAAAAGGGGTTTTGTGAGGCTGTGATCAGAATAACTGTTTTCCAACATCTTTCGATTGGAATCCCAAGAAGCGATCTCCAAGGGCAAATGATGGAAAAAAAAAATTATACAGATGTCAGTGGCCTTGCTGGTTTCTTCTCTTTCCTTGCATTGAAAATCCTTGGCCATTTCTTTGAAATCCTTCTTGATGGGATCTGACAAACCTCTATGTAATGATTTCTACTATCATTCTCAACCTGAATTCCAGAAAAATTGAATTAGGGAAGATTTTTATGGAATGCCAACGCAACTGTTCCCAAATTCCCTCACTCTTATCTCAGTTTAAAAGAATCTAACAGTCGTATTTGTTTTTTAAGCTGAGTTCTTTTTCCTTAATTACTGTTGTACAAAAGGCCTGGACAAATATCTGGACCACGAAAAATGAAAAAGCAAGTCGCTGTGGAACAGTCACAGGGTACAGTGAAAGCACTGTGATTTTTGGTGGGATAAGATCAATATGACAAGCTTTCAGATGTAGCAATCTGTCGATACTTTCCAGACCATCCCCACAGTAACAAAGACAGAGGCATTTTCAAGTTGTAACCGAGATTAGCCTCCATATGTACAGTTGGAGCCATGCCTATGAACTTTGCTAAAAGGCCGGCTATGTAAACTATCTATCACTCAATTTCACATGAGCAGTAATCTAATGACACCACAAAAATCTCACAATGTTCCTTGCTCCACACGTCCAGCCACAGCAACAGATGCCTGACAGTGTGCTTCATCTGCAGTACTGAGGGGTTTGCCTTCCAAGGGCTGAAGCACTGTACAGCCTCACTGAAAGACAGACATTATTCGCTCTTGGGGTGTCAAAGTCTTCAATGCTCAGCCTGATAGTCTGACAACACTCTTGGTCTAATCCATCTCACCAGATCTGCAGTCACATGTAAATTCAAAGCCCATGCATACTACTGCTGACTCCAGTACATTCTGGATGAAGCCCATGAAGATGGGCGAGATTGCTTCTTATGGATAGGAATAAAATATTTTGTTTGTTACTACTAAGCTAACCACAATAAAAACTAATAGTCCTCTTTCATGTGGTGATGGAACAAAGTAATCATACTATATCCCTTATTTTAATTAGTAGGTTGAAGGATTTAGTGTCTTCCTGGCTTGTTCAATTCTGAATCATATTCATCATATATAAATAGCCAGCAACTGTATATAGTAGCGGAGGATGGAAGGAAGGTCAGGAAATTAGTGTGATGTCAAGCATTTCCTCTGGAGTCACCAAATCTGTACAGATTCCTATTTGGGCACATAATGAGCCCTGAGGCTGCTATGGCAGCAGGGTGCCTTACTGGCACTGGAAAGCTTCTCCGCCCAGATGTTACATAGGCAGAGCTTACCTTTTGGAGATCTGTAAAGGTGAATGAAAAATTTTCCTTCTGTATCTTGTATTATGGGCAGACCCACTGGCTGTACACACCACTTTGTCGCCTAGTCTCCAAAGCACCTTCATGCGGTCAAGGAGTATGACACAAGCCACAACACACTCACTGAAACCTGCAAGGCGTGAGGAAAACAGGTGATGTTCATTAATACTGCACAAAGCATTTGTTCACCCAGTCCGTATCCTTCACAGGAAAAACATCACTTCTGATTTAAAACAAAACAAAACAAAACGAAACTGTTTTTCACTCACAGCAGTGCTGAGACACAACACTCCTTTCCGTGGACTCAGGAGCACATGACACACGGACACTCTCCTTCCTCTGATGTGGCACAGGACACAGCTGCAGCTACTCCTCCATACAGCCCTGGGAGGGGAGCACAGCCATCACTCACACAGCAGAAGCACAAAGAGCAAGTGACACGAGGTCTGGATGTGGTGCTCAGGGACATGATTTAGCTGGGCGCTGTTAGGGTAGTATGGTTAGGTCATGGTTGGACTCGATGATCTTTAAGGTTTTTTCAGACCTGAGCGATTCCATGATTCTATGATTCTACGGCAGTTAAAGCTGTAGAGGTTGTCACTGAACGCATAAACTTCAGCTCTATTTCCATTCGTATCCTATTTTGCATAAACTCAGCACAAATCTGGCAGCTTATGCCATTAAGAAAACGCAGCTCGGGACTTTCGGCACCGCTGCACACCGTTAAGCTCATCCCCGGCCCGTGCAGCTCCCGGCTGACTTTGCAGAACAACTGGGCACTTTCCACGGTGCCCCGCTTGGGACGGCAGCACCGGGCCCAACGAGGCGAGCAGGGTTGAACGGGGCTGCGAGAGGGCGCGCGTCCCGGCCAGGCTGGGCCAGGCGAGGCGAGGGGAATGCGGTCCGGCCTGCCCTTCCGCTGCCCCGGGTTAATGATTTACTCCGGGCCGGGCTGCCGGGCGGGCCTGCGAGGCAGCCGCTCGCGCACCCTCATGACTTGACGCGCCGTGCGCGGAGCCACGCGCGGTTAAACAAAAAAGAAAGAGGAGTTCTGTGGTCATTGGCCGTCACTCGCAGCCCGCGCCGCTCCGCTCGCGCTGCAGCTCTTCCCGCCGCCGCCTGAGGGAAAGGTGCCCGCTGCGCCCGGCCCGGCATCGCCGAGAAGCCCCAGCGGGGCGACAGCGTCTCGGAGCTCCTTCCCTGCTCGCCGGGCAGTATTTTTAGTCGCTGACCCAGTTCTCCCGCTCTCTACCTGCGCCTCTCGCGGCCATCTGCGCCATACAGTGCGGCCGGGCCCCCTCCGCGCCCCCGCCAACGGAAGCACCGCCCAGGGGCGGCCCGGCGCCAGGTGAGCGGAGCGAGGGGCGTCAGGTGCGGCCGGAGGGCGGTGCGGGGCCCCTCGCCGTACGGGACGGGCCGGGAGGGAGCGACGGAGCTGTGCGGCTGCGGGGCACGCTGCGAGGTGGGCGGGCGCCGCGCTGCTCGGGTCGGGCTTCTGAGGGAGCGCCCGAGCCGAGAGCGGGAGGTGGCGATCTGAGAGCCGGCGATCTGAGAGCCGGCAAGAGTACTTCAGGTTTTAAAAGTTTCTTTTTGATAATTGTTTTCAGTTAACGGGAGCTCAGCGTAACGCGTGCGGTGCGGGGGCGAGCCTGGCCGGGCTGCGAGCGCGGGGCCGGGTTGGAGGGCAGGGCAGCGGCACCCCGCTCTCCGTCTCCGCGTTGCCGAGCGGCCGAGCGCCCGCAGTACGCGGTGCGCAACCCGGCGGGAGCGCAGGTGGGTCCTGAGGAGAAGCCCTCACGGCTGTGCGCTGTGGGGTCTGGCGCAGCTGTGAGGGGGAGCGAGGGCGTGCGCTGCTGCTCCGCGCCCGTCTGTGCTGCCGGAGGACAGGAGAGTGCTTGGGAGGGACGCTGAGCTTGTAACCGATACCATGGTTCCGAGGCAGCAGTGCTAATATTTAGGGGGGGGGGGGGCGGCGGAGGGGAGGGGAAAACACCAAAAAGAACCCAAAAATCAACACCTCTTTCCTCCCCGTTTCTTTCAAGTTCTGGAGCAAAGCAGAAAACCGAGCATCCCCTTCTCACCAGGGTTATGCATGTCCTTGCTGCTGGCACAACTCTGGCATCTGACACCAGGGTGAAGGTTGTGCTGGGGCGCTTTGCTTTATTTATTTTCACAAGCTGAGGTGTGACAGGCTCTATGCTATGCTAACCCCCACGTGTGGGATTTGTCTAAGAGATCCACTCCTGCTGTGGCAGGCAAAGCAAATAATTAATGGGCATTTCCAATTCATTGTAAAGTTGAGATAGTTTAAAACTAGCTATAATGTGAATTTTTTTTAATACTGCACCTCACCTAACAAATCAAGTGATACAGAGGTTACAAACAGATGTTCGTGTTTAATCTTTTTTTCTGATGGAACACACAGTACTCTTTGGAGGAGTAAGCTTTGCATAGAATGCAACTTACTTTTGCAACCTGCTGGCTTTTTGTCACTGATGTTTTTGGAGTGGGCGGTGGTGACGAATATGGCTGCAGTCTGGATCTCTAAGTAAAATAGGCACTGAAAATTGCCTGTTCCCATTGACATACATTGTACTTCTGTGGAGGTACAGTGATGCACTGCAGTGGCTGCCCCACGTGAGCTGATACCAGCAATTAGTTCTCTCTGCTAATTACTGTGGGTGAGCAGTAGTTTGCTTTTGAGCTTTGTTTTCATAAAGGTTAATTGTGTTGCGTGGTAACAAGGCTGTATTTAAAATTCACGTGGTCCCTTTTTAAAAATATTGCCGAGTTGTGATTCCTGGCTGAGATCAGTCTGCCTTGTAACTGTGCCTTGTAATTGTAGAAACAATCAGATGGTTTTGATGCTAAAACTGTTCAGCATCATTTGCTACACAATATAAATGTGATTCTGTATATAAAGGTTCCATAGTTTTAAAATATTTGACTGAATGTCAAACTTTTCCTAAATGTCACCTTAAGACTGGTTTCGTAGTATCTTTCTGAGCAGTTTAGGTGAAGGCTTGCTATTTAATTTGAATACATAACTTGGTGCCCCATCCTGTTGGTTTTTTGTTGTTTTTCTTTTTTTTTTTTTTTGCATAGTCACTTCTGAGGAGCTGATTTTGGCTCTAAGACTGACTGTGGTAATGTGATATAAATGCCTTGGCAAAGTGAGAAATGAACAAAGTAATGACATATTTTGGGCTCTTACTTCTAACTCTTGTATTTTGTGGCTTCAAACTTCCATCTGCAATCAAGTATGGAAGAAGTGATTTTTTTTTTTTTTTTTTTTTTTGAAAGCAAAAATTCTTGCACAGATTATCTTGGAAAATGTCGAATATGGTATTTTTTGTAAGTTTCAGAGCTTAGCGTTGAGCTGAGATCTAACATGCCAAGTTACTAATGATCTCAGCAGTCCAGCAAAATAGTGTTACTTGTAATAGAAACTGTGGAATGCAGTTTAGCTGTCTTGATGATGAGGGTTGATTTACATGATTTCATGTATGTGTAACATATATGCATAAAATGTAATATGTTTAACATTCATATAAGATGTGAAGCTGTGCCAGTAGTGCTTTATGATTGGAGGCATCTTGTGCTTGGATGTTGAGCGCCCTGTGAGTGCAAGTACTGTGTTAGATATTGACTAAGCAAAAAATGCTGAAATGATTGCTTACCCAGAAGGCCCTCTCTCTCTTTGGCTCATTTTGTTCTCTTAATTCACTGTTGTAATATAACCTCATTTAACAGTAAATCAGGAAAATCAAGTGTTTCTAAAGCTGCCTATATCCCATGGGTTCTGGGGGCTACCTGGCAAGTTTCTGGGCTGCTCAGGCTGTGCAGGAGTGGGGCTGAAGCAGGGTGAGGTTAATGCTCCTTATTTTGCTTTCTCCTGTGAAAGGAGAAACAAGAGTCAGAGCTTCTTGAGTGTTTACAAGTGTAGCTGGCTGTTGTACAGCTTCTTTTAAACATTCTCACTTTTTATGAGAACAGCCTAGCTTTTTTGGAGGGAGCACTTGCACTGTGGAGTTTCGTCCTTTTCTAACTCCTGTGTGAGGATGTTTTTAGACTCAGCAGTTGTTCTGATAAGGGCATGGGAAAATTTAAGTTGTTTACTGCCTTCTTATTTCCTCTGTTGTCATTGAGATTATTCTGCAGAATATATTGGCTATGCATATTTATATTTTCTGGAAAAAAAAGTCAGTGCTATCTGATAGTTTTCTGTCCTCCAAGTAACAAGATAGTATACTGAATTTTTCTAAAATTTCCACAAGTGTTTTTTTTCTAGTACCAAAAAGTTATTTCAGAATGTAACTTTCCACCAAGCGGTATGAACTCATGTTATACTCCATTAACTTTTCCTTCCCTTTGATTAATTGCTTTAATCCCTAATTATTCTGGCGCTTCTCCACTTAAGTTACTTCCCTTAAACTGCTTTGGTTAGTATTTAGTTGTTGCATCAGGAATAACTCAAGCTGCTGCCAGTATGGCTGTGCATTGTCCACTTCTGTTAGCTCTCCAGTCTCTGCTTTCATTCCCCTGTAGTTGGGTTTTCCTGGCTCTGCCATTTGGTTGGACTTGTGGTTGTTTGTTTTTTTTTTTAATCATAAAATTTATATCACTTTTTTCCTGGTTACTGCAGTCTAAATACCAAGTTGCCAATATGTTTTCAGTAATCTTCAAATATTTGCAGAGGTTTCACCATTGTTTTTTCCATGTTCTTAAATACCTTAATAAAAATGAGTGCTAGCTCATAGACACAGATACACATAACCATGCATGTGTAGGGGAGAGTACTTGGGAATCCTGCAGGAAAGTTAAACCAGTGCACTCAAAACACTAGCAGCTGTGCTGTTAGAACCCACAATGGGTTTTGGTGAATTGACTTGTGCTGCAGGTCCTGCTGGATGTGCATGTGGCTGTTGCCTTTCTGTGTTGACCAACAGCGGCCATAAGTTGCGCAGCGAAGGTAATGCAGTAGGGTGGAACCACTGGAGTGCAATGGCTGATAATTGCTAATAACTGTAATACCTTTTGTTGTAGTTTTCTATACTATCTCTAACAGGAAGAAACAAGAAAACCTTGCTTCTAGTGCCACTTTATTTGCAGTGTTTGACATGTTCACATCAGTGAAGAAGGTGGAGACCTTTTAAAAACAAAACCAGAGCTATGGAAGGAGGAAGTGCGGTTACTTTTAAAGTAACTATTTTCCTCTGATCTCCTGGCAATATGTGGGGTCCATATTGTGTCCTGGGCTTGATATATGTGTTTGATGGCATCTTTGAGTTCTTGATGGAGTGTCTGTTGAAATGGTTCTTTTTTTTCCTTTATGGGATCAGCTGCAATGCCAAATCTACATGACTGGTGAGAAAAATGCTTTTAGTCATGATGTTCCTGAATGTCTGTGGTGATACTCTTGAATGAGTGTATTTGGTGTGATGATTACCTCAGACAAGTCTTTCACCTCAGTTCATCTCCTGTTTGAGTTACAGCTGAAGCTACTGGAGGGACATGCAGATTGATCTCATTCCTAGCATTGAATTGCAGCAAACTGAATGATCTTGACTGAAGAATTTATAGAGTATGATCATTATTCCAGGGGAACTAAGAATCTGTGTGTCAGTGACAGAGTTGTGGTAAAGTGCAAGGACAGGTAAAAAGAAACTCTTTGGAAAGAAGGGCTCTGAGTAAACTTGTCCATCAGCTATGGTTTGTGTGACTGTTATCGAAGTAAACATGATGTGCCTTTTTTTATGTTAACTTTGAGTTTTACCCATATGCCCCTAATGAGTCAAGTGCCACCCATTAGAGGAAATTCAAAGGTAAGGTTTTCCAGGTTTTGGTACTGCTGTCCTCTCTCAGCACAAGGAGGATGTCAAGGGAATTGGCCTACAGCGAGCTGTTGGTGCCCCTAGTCTTGAAGATTATGCATCCTGTCACTGTGCAGGGATGCTCTTTAGCGTGCTTCAGAGTTGCAAGAGGACTGTAGCATAGGTGTTTGGCAGCTCTTTAAATGTGAACTCCTGCCATCAGAATCCTTAGACACTCACTCTGAGTGTAGCTGCCTTTCCTGTGACTGGCCTGTCCTTTCATCCAGTTGAAGCTGAGATCTGTCCGATGTCCTTCCAATTGCTTTTAGCTTGGGGAGGTCTCCTAACCTTCTGGGACAGATTAACAGGAAACTTGGTTGTTGCTGAACTGTGGATAAAGAGTGAGAAACTAGGAAAACTACTTCATGGTTTTAATTACAAATTGTTTGATGAATGATTGTTCTGCAGAAAAGTAGCAAGTATGAATTCTGTAAACTTGGCTTCTTGC